TAAAATTATATTAATACAATATGTAAAATCTAATTAGATATTAAAATTATAAATAAAATGAAAATATAAAATAATCAAAATTTCATGTTTTTTTTATTTTTTATTATATGCATTAGCTCAGCATAAAAGTGTCATGTCACATATCAACATTACATCTTTCTTTTTTAATATGTTTGCAGTACATTATTTTTTCGTCTTCTCTTTGTTCTTTCAATCTGTATATCTAAAATGTTTATCTCCAGGTCTGAGCGAGGCATGTTTTGCATTATCCCTCTGATGCATGATTTTTTTTGCATTAGTCAGTAGATTCTTGGTTGACAAAATCAAGATTTTTAATGCACACTTAAAATAAATATCCAGCCGCTTTGTGTTTTGAAGTTTGCTTTTCGTGATTTAGAAGAGCCAGACCAGCGTACACCACTGAGGTCACGTTTCACTGTTCATCATCACTAAAACAGCTGTGTACACTTTGCTGTATCTTTTTGAAATGCACCTATATGGATAACATAGCTCCAGTTTTTTGTTATGGAAAATAATTGCAGTTGTGTTTTAGAAATGTAAACTAAATGAAATAACAGTGCACTGATGGAAATATATTTATGCCCTAAAGTCGTGCATTGCTGTGGACGAATTCGAGACATTTGAATTTGATATTTTAGTGCAAAAACCTGTGTTTTATTCACTAACCAACCAAAATCCAATTTAACCAGGTGCTAAATATACTATAAAAATGAACAAACATGTCTCCTGTCTGTGTAAATTATGTTTACTATACATTGCACCTTTTTCCCAAAATTGGCCTGCTTCAAGTATTGAAGTATGATAAATATGATATGCTAGTACCTGAAATTCATTTGAAAGAAATGTAATATCAGAAGTCTTCAAATTGCGTTCAGCACAGATTGGTGTTTTTTTTTTGTTTTGTTTTTTTGTGCTATTCCCTGGTTTGCATGATTCCTTCAATGAATCAGAAAATATATAGCATGTGCAAAAACAAAAAACAAAACACACAAAAAAACAATCAGTGGACACTATTACTGAATTCCTCCCTCTGTCTTTTAGTGTTTGTGTATCTGCGTGTGTGTTGTGTGTTGTTTGTTGTGTGTTTAGTTTTCTATGAAGGGATGGATGTGCCCCTACGCTTGGTTGGATGACAAATTTGCCCTGTGTGTAAAATGTGGGTTAAGATGACATTAGTAATGTTGGTCCACACTAGTGTGTGTGTGCACATTTGGGAGTGTGTGTGTCTGTATCATGGTTAAGAGACGCTGTAAGTAAGCTGACACTGATGACGCAGGGCTCTCGCCTAAAGTGTTTCTCAGCTCATTTTCAGATGGTAATTCGCCCCTTCCAAAGCAAACTCACAGAGTGTAAGGAAACGATTATATGCATGGCCGGCCATCCGTCAACATGCCCTGGGTTCTTTTCTCAGCAACCAACTTTGTGCAAGCCTTTTAAGAATTTAAAAATATTCCCAGAGACAAACAAGAGAAGAAACAGAGTATTGAAATATCTCGCAGGTGGGCTCCTGTTGGTCCTTTGTTTATGTGATGCGTATTTCTTATTTCTTTAAATCTTTTGTTCTCTTTCTGCCAAAACAAACAAAAAAAGAAGTCAAATTTGTATAATTATGAAAATATGGCTGCACTGCCATACCGTATTCACAATAGATGCTGTGGAAAACAAAAGACAGACTGCAAGATGTCAAGAATACTTATATAGTATGTATAGTCACGAGAGGACAGCCCATAAAGGTTAGTAAAAGGAAACTCCCACTAAAGTAAATAAAGTTAGCCCACAGTCACCATCCCCATTTAGTGGAGAACGATAAAGAAAAATAAACAAGGTAAAAGTAACCTCAGAATGAAAACATCTTTTGTAATATCTCATTGAATGTAGCATAATCCAAAGAAATCTCTCTTTAAAAGGCTTCTATTCCCTCACAGTATCCTTTGGATCAACTTCATCAAACCTCACTTATTAATTGGCTTTCTGCGTATAGGCGTAATTCAATCGCGATTGACCCTAGTGAGCAGGAGCCCAGCTGAGCGAGGCCATACCACATCATCAATCACCGCAATCCACAACGCTGGTGGCCCCTATTAAAGGCTAGTCTTTGTATTAAAACACAACAGGCCAACTGGGTATGTTTGCATAAAGTCACATGACAATCAGGTGTCCTTTCAAGAGTTTCAGCCCTACGGAGCCGCCACATCACAAAGACACTCCTGGAAGGAGTCAAATGTAATGCTGCTCTGATTTCCATTGTTCTCCGCTCTGGCAGAAGAGTGCATTTGGTTTCCATAGCACTTAACTGGCATCAGATGTTTGCAGAAAGTCCCACGCACCCGATCGGAGTGCTAAGATTGATGGCCAGCACTGTATTGATCCCAACGCTGTGATCTAAAACAATGACAGTTCCTCCTAAGACGGGGACCACAGTGCTATCAAGCTCATCGAGGGGAAAATCCATCACAGGAATCTCTCGTAGACTCGTTGTCAAGAGGACCAGGTTTTCATTAGCCCATTTAACTCAGCACAGATAACTGAAGCTACTTTTCAAAGTTGGTGGGGAAAAGAGGGTATTTGGCTGCTTTTTAAAAAGCAGTTCAAAGGCATGGATGTGACTCTCTGTACGGCGGCCTGCCGCCAATGACTGACTGGTGGAGCGATTCTGTTACTGAAGCAGATGGCAGGATATCCTGCTGTAGATATTGTCTCAGAACGGTTCAAAGGGAACAGCGCAGTGGAAATTATGCGCCTCTGTCCCATATCTAAGTAATAAAGTCGCATCAAAGACACCGATTACCTTGTTACATAAACCAGTGCCACGGCTTCATAGTTGTGTGGGTTACATTATTTAATTGAACCGTGTGGGTGTTTTTTGTAGAAATGTGTGTAGAACATCGAGTTGTGGACTTCATTCAGTAATTTCATCCCTGGACGGCCGAGGAAACCATTCCAATGTATTGGAAAATTCGCTGCTGGCCCAACGCGAGCTTATTTTGTAAATACGCATAAGTAATAAAAGCTGCTTTTGTGATGTTGAACTTCTGCTAATTCTGCTTTTCGTACTTGCTCAGGTTCCCGCGGAGGCCTTGATTATCGCCGGAGTCGGTGGCCACCAGCGGTCAGAAACTCATCACTTGGCACCCGAGCTCCAAATCCTCATGCGCCTTGCTACTCATCCCGTAGCGCTCTCTTTTTTGATTGCTGTTAAGCCTTAATGTGGGCAGGATGGGGTGATGAGGAGACAGGCTTTCTTAATCAAACCGCTGAGCGTTTAATCTTGTCGGTGAAACATCTGGCGGGCACCTTTTCTCATTTGTTTCTTTGACATCGGATTCCACCACCTTGTGCTGAGAGGACATTTTCAAAAGGGATCTTCATCCTTGTGGCACGAGGACTCCTCAAAATGTGCCCTGTGAAAATAATCCAATGGTAAAGCCCAAAGGTATGGCATGCGTCTGATCT